CAAGTTCGACTCCAGCTCGATTCAGGTTCGACTCAGGTTCGACTCGCGTCGACGGACGTTCGACGCAGCGTCAATGCACGAGTGGAGCGGGCGTCTCCAGGAAGGTCCCCAGGACGAGCATCTGATATTTCGGAAGGACATGTGACAAGTGCCTGTTCGGTCCAGGCGGTGCCCCGATCCGTCGTTGGCCGCCGAGGGCCGTTCGCGGGCCTCCTCCTCCTGTTTCTCCTCCTCCTCCTGCCCCTCCTCCTCCTCCTCCTCCTCCTTCTTCTTCTCGTCCTCTTCCCCGAGGCCATCAAGAGCGGGACCCCGCGATGGAGAAGCTGCCCCTCGGGGAAGGGGCCCCGAGGTCTGTGGAGCAGCAGGGGCCGAAGGATCTCACGGTCGGATGTCCGAATCGGGCAGTCGGCGAGCATCCGGGGCAACGATGGGTGGGACAGGCATAGGGGGGGACGGATCCACCCCCAACCGCACATTGATAGCCGAGAGGAGGTCTGAATCAGACCCACATGACAAGGGGTCCGGGTGGGGGCATCAGACCGTCTGCTAACCCCGCCCGGCCCAGGAAAGGTGCGTGTGCTATCGGGGGCCTTGCGCCGCTCTGTAGGCAATGTATCGCCGATTCCAGGCTGTTGCTTCCCCCCTGTGTCAGCCAGTTCCACCCCTGTCGTTGCCCCGCAGATCAGGCAGAGAGCCTCGTGGCCCACGCGAGGACGGGGCAGGGCGGAGCAGGTCGGGGCAGTGCGACATGCCGTGCACCTGCAGAGGGAGCCTGGGGGCAGCCAGGGGGCCACCATGCGGCCTGGTCCCCTCGGGGGCCCCGACACGATGCGGCGACCGCGCGCCACACCGTGTGGAGGGAGGGAGGGAGGGGAGGAGGGGGGGAGGGGAGGGTGGGGGGGGTGAGGAGGTGGGAGGGAGGAGGGAGGGAGGGAGGGAGGAGGGGGGAGGGAGGAGGGAGGGAGGGAGGGGGAGGGAGGGAGGGAGGGAGGAGGAGGAGGAGGAGGAGGAAGGAGGAGGAGGAGGCATTTCAGGAGGAGGAGGAGGAGGAGGAGGGAGGGAGGGAGGGAGGGAGGGGGGGGGGAGGGAGGGAGGGAGGGAGGTGAGTCAGCGAGGACTGGGGGTGGCCGCACGGCGCTGGGCCTCGGGCCGTTCTCCGGGGGCGCCTCGGGCGTCTCGGGGGCGGTGGCGGCGGACCGCGCGGGGGAGCCCGCGGTCGGCGCGCGGGCCGTCGCCGCGACGCTCTGGGGCCACGTGTTCTCTGACCCCTCGGCTCGCTCCTCGCAATTCTCCCCCTCCTCCGCCTCTCCTCCTCCTCCTCCTCCTCCTCCTCCTCCGCCTCCTCCTCCTCCGCCGCCTCCTCCTCCTCCTCCTCCTGCTTCGCTTCTCCTGACCCCTCCTGTGCCCCATCCTGACCCCTCCTCTGGTGCTCCTCCTCCCCTGGCTGCCCTCTCCTGCTCCTCCTGACGCCTCCGCCTTGCCTGCAGTGCTCCTCATCCTCCTCCTCCTCCTCCTCCCTCCTCCTCCTTCTCCTCCTCGTGCCTCCCTGACTCAGGGCCCAGGGCCACCCCCTCCCCTTGGGTCGGAAGCCCCTGTGAGAAGCTCGGTTTGGGGACCTTCACGGGGGCCCGCCTCACGGATCTGCTCGATTCTAGCTTGACGCAGTTCGATTCAGGTTCGACTCAAGTTCGAGTCGACGGCCGTTCGACGCAGCATCGAGGCGTGTGTGGGGCGAGTGGCTCCCAGACGGCCCCCCAGAGCAGGAACCTGACCGGTGGCCGAGGGCAGCCCTCCGCACGCTGGGCCAAGGAGGGGGGGAGGAGGGCGAGGAGGAGGAGGACGAGGAGGACGAGGAGGACTAGGAGGAGGAGGAGGAAGAGGAGGAGGAGGAGGAGGAGGAGGAGGAGGAGGAGGAGGAGGAGGAGCAAGAGGAGGAGGAGGGGGAGGGAGAAGAGGAGGGGCTCGCAGCCTCGAGGGGTCCTTGGAGCGCCCAGACCTCCAGCGATGGGTCGAGGATCGTACGCAGTCCTTGTCATCGCTCGGACGTGTGCATTTTTTCCCCGGCGAGAAACCATGGAGGAGCATCCTGGATGACTCAGCGAACAAAGCACGCCCGACATCGACGAGTACACGAGGAATGGACGTCCGAGCGATGGCAAGAGTACAGCGCGCATGCGCGCCTCAAGGAGCCATGTGTCGGCGGCGAGCGAGGGGGGGAGTTGGGAAGGAGAAGGCCTTCTCAGAAGGCGGCGGGACTTCTCAGAAGCACTCGCGCCTTCTGAGAAGTTTTTTCTGTCTTCGGGGAAGGTTTAGAAAACTTCTCAGAAGTCCGGGGGACTTCCGAAACTTCTGAGAAGGTACGCCCCTTCTCACTTCCCCCCCTGGCTCGCCGCCTAATGTGCGTTTCGTCAGGGTATCCTGGGTTTCGTCGCGCCGCGCGCCGCGCGGTGACTTCCCGCAGCCGTTAACGAAGCTGCTGCGTTCAGGGATCTCCGGGTTTCCCCTCGCGTGCACCTCGCGCGCGGGTTTTCAGGGTTGGGGAGCATCGGTATCGGGCTTCCTTCGACCGAAGGACAACGTTGTTCAATTGTTGCGTGGACTTGTGTAGGGAGCGCTCGGAAAGCAGAAGATGCGACGACGCTGTGGGGAAGACGGAAAAGCCTTTTCAGGGTGTGGGAGCATCGGTATCGGTATTTTTTAGGGGTTCTCTACAGCAGCAGCGATCCTGCCCAGGCCAGGTCCGTCCTGCGCCCAGCAGCGGCGTGCGCGCGCCAGCCCTGGCCAAGGCGGGAGGGCGGGCACACCCCCGCGTGCCCGGGGCGGGTTTACAGTCGGCCCAGATTAGTATCGGGGGCGGCAAAGAGGGGGGTGATGATTAGGGGAGGGTGGATATCATGGCGGGGGTCATAATATTTCCCCAGATTTCATGGCGCCTCTTCTTATTCAATCGCTTCGCTCATTCCGCCGGCCCATATTGCAGCATCACTGGCGCTTGCCTGCGTGCCCGGGGGGTATTTGGGGGGCCTCCTGTGGCCGGTTGGGGGGCCTCTTGGGAGCTTCCTGAGAGCCTCTGGGGGGTCTCTTGGGGCCTCTTAGGGGCCTCTTGGGACCTCCTGGGGGCTTCTTGGGGCCGAGGGCTGGAAATGTTGTTTCGTGTTCCCCCTCTTGGGGCGTTCTTGGGGCCCTCTTGGGCCGTCTTGGAGACCTCTTGGGCCGTCTTGGAGCCCTCTTGGGCCGTCTTGGGGCTCTCTTGGGGGCCTCTTAAGCCCTCTTGGGGCGATCTTGGAGTCGTCTTGGGCTGTCTTGGGGCTTCGGGAAGCGGAAAAGGTGGAAAAGCCAAAATATGTCCAAAACCTAAGGAAAAGCAATGAATTTTGCCTCTTGGGGCCCTCTTGGGAGTACGCTTGGAGACCTCTTGGAGCGTCTGGGGGCCATCTTGGGCGTCTTGGAGCGATCTTGTGGCATCTCGGACGCCTCGTGTACCATCTTGGGGACCTCTTGCGAGCCTCTTGGTTTTGTTTGGGTCCTCGGGGACGGTTTCGGAGCCCTGTTGGTGCGCTCGTGGAGCGCTCGGGGGGACCCGGCCGGGACCCGGCCGGGGACCGGCCGGGACCTGGTCGGGGTATTTTTCGTCTGGGGACCCCCAGGGGCCGCCCCGCGCGCGCGAAGTAGAAACATTGTAGAGCAGTTACCGGAGATCTTAGCACGCCTCTGGCCCGTTGGGCCGGCGAATTTCATTACGTCCCTGGCCCCCCCGCTGGGCCGCGCACATGCCGCCGGTCATGATTTGCACCCCCCCTCTTGGACACCCCCCCCTTGGCCGCTCCCGATAGTAGGTCGACCCTGCCGAGTCAAGGGTACCCTTGTGTCCTGTGTCTCGCGATCCATGCTTCCTACACTTCTGTGGCAATGTGGCCCTCGGAAGGGTCTTGTGCCCTCTCGAGTCCGACTGTAGCCAAGGTCGGGGCTGGTGAGTGCTCGGCGTCCTCCAGGCATCTCTGCGCCCCCTTCCCTGCCGCGCCCCCCAGGCGTCCTGCTCCATCCCACCGCCTCGCGCGAGGAAGAAACAGCGACAGGCACGTATAGAAACTGCCTGCGATGCGCGCGGATTTCTTGGGTCGGCGCTTGCCCCCCCCCCCCCCTGGCGGCGCCTCTGGCGCCGCCCCTGGCGCGCTCCAGTGCCGAGTCCCCGAACTCGGCGCTGGCCTCCGAAAGCCCCCGTTTATGCGCCCGAAATGGGTGCTGAAAGAACGGGTCTGGGCTTATTTATCAATTTATAAGCCTGTTTGACAGGCTTATAAATTAACGGGTCTGGGCTGAAAGAACGGGTCTGTGCTGAAAAATGGTGTATCAGCCCTGTCTTCATTTATTGGCTCTGGGCGCCCGAAATGGGTGCGGAAAGAACGGGTACAATGCCCAGCAGCAGCTCCTGTTCATTTTGAACAGGGCTCGCTGTCCAGGCCGCCGCGGCCTGTGTCCGTTCGAGACAGAAGGCCGCCTCCCCCACAGCGGCCGCTATTGGTTTGGGGCAACATATGTTGTTGGGCATTGTACCCATTCTTTCCGTACTCATTTCGGGCGTCCATATTACAGTGGGGGCGCGCATGCAGAAGCCATGTGTTTTTCGTCAGGGTATCCTGGGTTTCTTCGCTCCGCGCGCTGCGCGGTGACTTCCCGCAGCCGTCGACGAAGCTGCTGCGTTCAGGGATCTCCGGGTTTCCCCTCGGGTGCACCTCGCGCGCGGGTTTTCAGGGTGGGGTTTTTTGCGAGGGTTTCTTGCGGCCGCGCCCGCAGTGGAACGCTTAAGGTTCTTCGGTTTTTTCTCCCCCCTCTCTGTTTCTCTCGGCGGGGAATAACACTTGTCCCTCCTCTTCCTCCTGCTCCTCCTCCTCCTCCTCATTCTCCTCCTCCTCCTCCTCCTGCTCCTCCTGCTCCTCCTTGCTGCGCTCGGCTTCGCGCGGCCGCGCCCGCACCGTACCGCCCCCCCGGCGGCGGCGGAGGCTGCTGGTCCTCTACGCGATGTTTCTGTTCCGCGACGTGCGCTTCGACCCCGTCCCGCCGCCGCTGCCCCTCGCGGCGCTGGACGCTCCGCCCGGCGGCTCGGCGCGCCTCGCGCCTCTTGGGCAGCGGCGACGACGACGACGACGACAAACGACGTGGACGACGACGACGAACGATGACCACGACGACGACGGCGACGACGACGACGACGACGACGACGACGACGACGAACGACGAAGACGACGACGACGACGACGAACGACGAAGACGACGACGACGACGACGACGACGACGACGACGACGACGACGACGACGACGACGACGACGACGACGACGACGACGACGACGACGACTGCGACGACGACGACGACGACGACTGCGACGACGACTGCGACGACGACGACGACGACGACGACAAACGACGACGAGGCTCCCTGGACGCTGAGCTCAGGGAGCCCTGAAGGGCAGGCTGGTGTAGACTCGCCTGGTTCGGCGGCGGAATCCGAATCCAACCCTCGCCGAGCCACGATGCGGGCAACGGGCAACTCGATGGGCGGCGGGGGTGGGGTTCGGAGTTCGCCGAAGGCGTGGCGGAGTCCGATCCCTACCCCCGCCTCCCCTCGCTTCAGGAGAGTCCCTGGTTGGTGGGGGTAGGGTTCGGGTGTCGCCACCCACTCGTGGATCTCTGGGCAGGCCTGAGGATGAGGGCAGGGGTGGACCTAGACGGTGCTGTGGTGATTCCATGGGCCGTTTTCGTTTCGATTTCGTTTTGCGTTAAGAGGCGGAGGGAAGACAAAACGATGGAAAACGACAACAAAACGAAAACGGAAAAACACCGTTTAGGTTCAGCCCCGGATCAGGGTACACCGCCCCGGAGCGTCCTTGAAGGCTCTGGGACGGCCGCGGCGCCCGACGCAGACCTTCGGGGCCCGGGCCCGGCCCCCCGCAGGGACTGCCGGCTGGTCCTCGTCCGGATTTCTTCCCATCTTGCCTTCGTCTTGGACTCTGACCCGGGGGCCCCCAAACGGTGCGGTGACCACACCGTGCGGTGAGTCGGTGGGGATTCGGGGTCGCCGCACGGTTTTGGGACTCGAGTCCCTCTCCGAGGACGCCTCGGGCGACGGGGGCCTCCAGGGTCCCAAGACCGTGCGGTGGCGGACCGTGCGGGTGAGGTCTCTTGGGGTTCCGAGGTGACCGCACGGTCTGTCACCGCACCGTTTCGGGACTCCAAATCTCAGGAGGGGAAAAACACACAGACACAACTAATCGTCGATTCCCAGGAAAATATGGGAAAATATGGGAAGTGGGGGGGGGAAGACAAAAACCCAGAAAATATGGGAAAATATGGGGGATATTTTTATTTGTGTGTATTTTGTTTGTGTGTCCTGGGGCCTCCTCAAAATCTGGCCCTCGATGGCCCACGAATTCAACGGCAGGGCTGCTCAGCGCAGTCTTTCCTCGTGGATCCATGCCGACAACGTCCGGGCCTCCGGAGGCCCTCGGTCAACCGCCTTTCCACATACCGAGATGGCGTCTGTGAGCGAGCACGCGCTAGGCACCGAAGCACGAGCGCACGATTTTTCGGATCAGCACTCCGACCAGTAGGGTAATGCTTGGAATTCCCAGGATCATCGAACAGCCTCGGGTGCCTTCTCTGCGCCAGGCAGCTCGTGACGAGGCCGCGGAGGTTGTCCGAGCGGGGCGCCGCAACATGCGGCTTCAGTCTGGATCTCTGTGCCCATGGACCTTGAGCTGCCTGGGCTCTTGGAGGCCGGGCCAGGCGTATGATGCTGCCCACCCGCGATGATCTTCACATCGGCACACGAGTGTTCGGGGACAGGGGCATGACCATAAAGAGTACGCATGACATGATTTCGCCACCGCGCAAACTGCAGCGAGCAGTATTCGGGCTCGGTTCGCGCGTGTAGGCCGAAGATGTCCACTGTGTTTCGGTCGAAGGCCCGCACGCCTCCGTGCACAGCTGTGCGGCCCCCGCGTATGCCAGGTGGCGGCGCTCTCCGTGAGCGCGCTGGCGGCAGGGGAGGTCGGCAACTGCACCGCAGGCAGCGCGCCCTGCCGGCGGCAGGGAGTTCGCCCGCGTGCTGCGGCCAGTCGGAGCACCGCGCGCCGGCAGGCGCGCAGGCGCGCGGGCAGCGACTACTGGCCGCCTGGCCGCCCAACCAGGCCGCGCCGCTGCGCTCGGCCTGCGGAAGAGGCGCGCGGGCAGCTGGCTGCTGCCGCCCACGCAGGAGGACCACCGCCGACGCACACTTCCAGCCGGCGCTCGCCCTCCGCGTGCGGCTCCCTTTGCCGGCTCACGCGAGCGCTACCTGCCTCCGCCTCCGCTGCCGACGTGGCGGTCAGAGGGCACGCCACCGCGGCAAGAAAACTTGGCATCGAGACAGGTGTTTGGAAGTCCGTGCGGATTTCACGGGTCGGCGAACGGGAAAAAGCGCACAAGCACACATTCCAGAGGTCCGCGCGGATTCCTCGGATCGGCGCTGGATCCGGGAAGCGCAAGACTCGAGTACGCCAGAGCCCGGGTTTGCCCGCGCTTTTTGACGAGCTCGTCCTGGATTTTGACGGTCCAGTTCTGGTGAGATGTTTGCAGCGGGAGCTCGCGTCAAATGTTAGACTGGTTTTCGCCATTTTCATGATGGCCCCGCCGGGCCAACCCGAGCCCCCGAACCCGAGTGCTGACGTCTCTCCGATTGGACCCCCCCTGTCCCGGGCGCGCGAAGAGCGCCAGGGGAGGCGCCGGGAGGCGCGGCCAGAGAGACCCGCGCGGACCTCCGAGAGGCGGTGCTCATGCAGCTTCCTGTTCCTCCAGGGGGGGAGTGGGGGGAGGGGGGGAGGGCCCTCCGTGGCCCTCTCCGTCCTTCCCCCCCCCCCACCCCGTCGAAGAAGGACAACCGGAGACACAAACTGGTGGCGCTCCGCGCAGATTTTCTCGCATCCGCGCTGGGCCCCACCGGCGGCGCCTCCAGCGCCGCCCCTGGCGCGTTGGGGGGTCCAGCGCAGATCCAAGAGTCCCGCGCGGACCTCCAAAGGTTAAGTCGGGCCTGTCCCTGTACAGGGGGGAAAGTCAAACATAGTCAAAACATTGGGTTTATTCTTCTGATATGTTGAAATATTTCGTGATCCTTCTTATTCTTTCGTCCAAAATCACCCTGTAGGGGGACATGCCCGACTTACTCCGAAGGTTCCTACGGGGGTTATGATGCTCCACCCTAGTTTAGCTCTGACCACCAGGAAGAATGTCGAGCGCCCCAAAAAGTACCGGAACTCCAGGGTTTTCACGTGTCGGGCCTTGGGATACACTCGTCCGACACTGTTTCGACACTCGTTCGATACTCGTTCGATACTTGTCCGGGTGCTCGAAATTATTTTGGGGATGCGGTCCTTAAGTAGGACGGGGGCAACATAATACAGGGGGTGATGGCGCTCGGGCCCTCCGCAGCTCTCCCCCCCCTCCCCTTCGTTCCTTCCCCCCCTGCCTTCCCTGGTCGACACTCGAGCGCCATTCATCTCATCACCGTTCACCACATCCACAACCAGGATCCTTTGTTTTTGGTTTTTCATTACATCCACAACCAGGATCACCATTCATTACATCACCATTCATTACGTCCCCCAGATCTTTTTTTTATGTTTGGCGCATTCGTCTCGCAACCCCACTGCATGCCTGTGTGCTTCTTGCGCCCGAGATTCAGGAGGGGACGGTCTCCCCCCACCAGGTCCTTGTCAGGCCTGGGCGCCTGTCCGCAGCGGCGGCTCGCTCGCTCGCTCGCCCGCTACCCTCCCGCCTTGGTGCCCAACTCGCACCGCAGCAGCCCTGCCGTAGCCACGACCACAGCTTGGATCCAAGGCGACGCGGTTCAAAAGGGGAGATGTTAAGCGTGCCTTGACATCTGCTCGGAAGGGTGAAAACTCATGTCCTTGTCCTTCAACGGTTCGGAACCGTCTGTTCGCGAATTCCCAGGCCCCCCAAGTCTTCGTGCACGGCCGCGCAGCTGAGGGGAAACAGAGATGATCGTATTCTTATTCATTGTTTTGCGGATCGGCGCGGGCCCTCGCACCTCCCCCCCCCATCCCACCGATGGAATAGATCTTGGTTGCTTTGGGTGCACGGCCCCCCGTTGGATCCCCCCCCCCCTCTCCCCCCCCACACCCGCTCAGTGTCGAAACGCCGACGACGAAATCATCCACCAACACGAGCGTTTCGTGCACGGTTCGGGAACACATAAGTTTGCAAGCGATGTTCGGGTCAGCCCTGGGGGGGGGCGGGGGGCTTTGACGTTCAGTGTGCTGACAATTCCCCCCCCTGGACCTACCAAGCCTACCCGGACTGCTCGAAATCTCGATTAGTCACCGAATACCATCGGGGGTGGCAAAAGGGTGGGGGATGGTTAGAGTGGGATATCATGACGGGGGCCATGAGATTTCCCCAGATTGCATGGCGCCTTTTCTTGTTTCGCTGCGTCCCTGGCCCCCCCCCTGGGCCGCGCACGTGCTGCCGGCCATGATTTGCGCCCCCCTCTTGGACGCCCCGGTCTTGGCCGCCCCTGATACCAAATGAGCGACGCAAAACAAGGAGTTCAACTGCGCCGACACTCGCGCGCAAGCTGTTCGCGTAAGAAGTCGCGCGTAGGCACCCTCGTGTCCACGGTGACTTGGCGCACCGGTGGGCCGCGTACTCACAAGGTCGCTGCGCCATCTCGCGCGAGACCATTCATGGCGCGTCGCTCCAGCGTCATAGGTGTAATTTTGTTAGGCCTCTTTCAGGACGGGAGAAAACACACAGACACATTGAATCGTCGATTCCAAGGAAAACATAGGAAAATATAGGAAGTGGGGGGCAGAGACAAACTTAGAAACTATGACAAACTAGAGAGAATATTGGTAGTAGTGTGTAGTTATTTGTGTGTGTTTGGGCCCCTTTCACTTTTAGAAAGGGCCAGGTCCCTCCTTCAGGAGGGATCTGCAAAACGAGTCAAGAAGAAAATAGTCAACAATAGTCTGGGGACGAGTTTTGTGACTATGTTTGAGCATTTTGGGAGCATTCTTTGACAAGTTTTTACTCTTCGCCCACAATCCCCCTGTAGGGGGACAGGCCCGACCTAATGCAAAGGTTTCTGGTTACGCGCCGGTCGTTGAAAGTAGGTATTTTTGGACTCCCAGATCCCACTCTGCTTCGAGCGCCTTCCCACTTCAAGAATCGACCTGCTTTTGGTGTGTTCCGTTATTCCCTGGGAGGGCCTGGACCCACTCTACTATATCCGCCTTCCTACTTCATGTTTCTGCCTACCTCTTCCGACCGACGTGTAACCACCATTCAGTCGACTAGACGTAAGAGTGACCTTTCGCTGGAGTGACCTTTGGTGCGGGCACAGGTGGGTCCCCAGATGGCTGAAAACGAGGCAGGAGCAGCGGTTTGCGCGCCCGGGTTTGGCCCCCCGCGGCCCCCAAAAATCCGCGCACCAAAGGTCACTCTTACCCAGGGTCACTCTTGCGTGTAGCCTATTCAGGTTTATGTCGGGCGTGTCCCCCCTACAGGGGGGATTCTCGACGACACGCTCGGGGCTCCGTTTGGGGGGCTCCTGCGCGCGAGCGCGCGGCTCCGAGCTCGCCCGCGCTCTCTGGCCCGCCCGCCCGCCCGCGCGCGGGGAGGCCTGGGACGTCTCTTGGGCCCGCCTCGGCCCCCACCGGGCATCGCTCGGACGTGTGCGTGTTTTTCCTCGGCGAGGACCATCGAGGAGCATCCTTGACCACTTGCCGAACAAAACCGCGCACAAAACCGCGCACAAAACGGACAAAAAACACATGGCGAGCCCATGGCTCAGAGAGGGGGGGGTGCTCCATTCAGGTTTCTGCCGGGTGCTGTGGGCTCTCTGCCCGTCTCACGGTGCGGGTGCCGCCCCCCCCCTCCCCAGAGGAGGAGGAGGAGGAGGAGGAGGAGGAGGAGGAGGAGGAGGAGGAGGAGGAGGAGGAGGAGGGGAGGAGGGGGAGGGGGAGGGGGGGGGGGGGGGGGTTGGAGGAGTAGGAGGAGGAGGACGAGGAGGAGGAGGACGAGGAGGAGGACAGGGGGATGTGATCCCTCCTCGAGGGCGCCGGGCGCCGCGCGCGCGGGGGGGGCGCGGCGGCGGCGGCCCGGCGGGCGTAGACCGCGCTGGGCAGCCTGGACGCCCCGGCGGCGGCGGGCAGCAGCGCGCTGGCGCTGATGGCGCGCCCGCGGCTGGGGCCCGGGGGCTCGGGGGCCTCGAGAGGAGGAGAAGGAGGAGGAGGAGGAGGAGGAGGGAGGAGGGAGGAGGGAGGAGGAGGAGGAGGAGGAGGAGGTGGGAAGGTGGTCCCCAGGGTCAGCTCTCGGGAGCCTCGAGACGGAGGTCAATGCAGACGGGGGTCAGCCAGAGCGCCCGCCCGATCCTGCAGGATCCTGCAGGGCCGGGGCCCGGGGGTTTGGGGGCTTTGAGACTCAGGAGGGAAAAAACACACAGACACAGTTAATCGTCGACTCCCCAGGAAATATTGGAAAATATGGGAACTGGGGGGAAAGACGACAACCCCAAAAATATGGGAAAAGATGGGACAATATGAGGAAAATATGGGCAATATGGGGTGATGACAAGGGGGGGTGAATATCATGGCGGGGGCCATGATATCTCCCCAGATTTCATGGCGCCTCTTCTCATTTCATTACGTCCCTGGCCCCCCCGCTGGGCCGCGCACATGCCGCCGGTCATGATTTGCACCCCCCCTCTTGGACACCCCCCTCTTGGCCGCTCCCGATGAGACGGGTGTCAATGCAGACGGGGGTCAGCCAGAGCGCCCGATCTTGCAGGATCCTGCAGGGCCAGGGTCGCACTGACCCGGGTTTGGGCGCAGGATCCTGCAGGGTCTCTTGCAGGGTCCTTCGCATTGGCCTGGGCTGGGGTGCAGGAGATCCTGCAGGATCTCCTGCAAGGCCTGACTGACCCAGGTCCGGATTGACCCGGGTCAGAAGATCCCCCAGGGGGGGGCCACCCGCACGCGGCACCGGGCCGCGGGGGGTGAGTCGGGCCTGTCCCTCTACAGAGGAGGAATAGTCAAAAACAGGACAATGAATAGTCTGGGGACGATTTGTGTATCATGTTTGAAGATGTTTCCCCATATCCTAAGATGGGATTATCCTTATTATTCGGACGCCGCCGACTCCAGAGAACCAGAGAGAACACACCTACTCATACACAGACTTACTCAGACTCAGACCTACTCAGACTCATACCTTCTCATGGTCTGACTTACTCAACACAACATGCAGGCCTACTCATACTCAGACTTACTCATGCTGGGATTCCTTCATACCCAGACTTACTCATACCCAGACTCGTTCCGAGACCTGCGCATACACAGACTTACTCATATTTAGACCTACACATACTCAGACCTTCTCATAGTCTGAGTTACTCAACGCACGGACTGAGACCTACTCATACTCAGACCTAGTCATACTCAAACTCGCAAGGGGAGCCGCCAGGGGTGTTTTCACGGGCACGTTCGCGGCCAGTTTGTGGGGATGTCTCAGGCGGTTTGCTCGTTTTCATGCCCAACATCCTTGGCTTTCAGAGCAGATTCTGGGGATGTCTCAGGCGGGGTGCTCGTTTCAGCACTCCTAAGGGGAGCCGCCAGGGGTGTTTCAACGGGCCCGTTCGCGGCCAGGTTGTAGGGATGTCTCAGTCTGTTTGCTCGTTTTCATGCCCAACATCCTTGGCTTTCAGAGCAGATTTTGAGGATGTCTCGGGCGGGGCGCTGGTTTCAGCACCCCTGAGGGGAGCCGCCAAGGGTGTTTTCACGGGCCCGTTCGCGGCCAGTTTGTGGGATGTCTCAGGCTGTTTGCTCGTTTTCATGCCCAACATCCTTGGCCTTCAGAGCAGATTCTGAGGATGTTGAGGCGGGGCGCTGGTTCCAGCACCCCTAAGGGGAGCCGCCAGGGGTGTTTCAACGTGCCCGTTCGCGGCCAGCTTGTGGGGATGTCTCAGGCGGTTTGCTCGTTTTCATGCCCAACATCCTTGGCTTCAGAGCAGATTCTGAGGATGTCTCAGGCGGGGTGCTGGTTTCAGCACTCCTAAGGGGAGCGTCAGGGGTGTTTTCACGGGCCCGTTCGCGGCCAGTTTGTGGGGATGTCTCAGTCTGTTTGCTCGTTTTCATGCCCAACATCCTTGGCTTTCAGAGCAGATTCTGAGGATGTCTCAGGCGCGGTGCTGGTTTCAGCTCCCCTAGTGAGAGCCGCCAGGGGGTAGGACACGGGCCCGTTCGCTATTATAGTCAGACGCTCATGGACAGACGCTCACCTATGGCATGTAATAAAACATGAGATGCACATCTGGGGAGCTCCACGCAGTGAGTATTTTTTGCGGGTTATTTTGCATCTTTCGCCCAAGATCCCCTTGTACAGTCAGGACGCTGAAGAAGGAACTCTTCTCGTTGGGGAGGGGCTCGGTGTTCCTTGATTGTTTTACAGCTTGGCTTGGGTTTTCCTGAGGTTTTCGATGGGAAATCGAAGCTTAACTTTTGGGATCAAGGGGCCTCGTTCATTATGTAAGGTTCCTTAGGTCAACGCCCCGACTGTAGGGGGACATGCCCGACCTGAGGCAAGCGAGGCTGGGACCCCCGCACGCGGCACCGTGGCCGCAAGGATCAGCGGCGGCAGGCCCAGAGGTTGACACCAGTATCGATGTCGGCGGTGTGCCTCCACCGAGGGGAGAAGACCCCGATCTCGGTGATGGTGGTAATATTCTGGCTTCCGAGGTGGCCGAAACATTACCACCGACACCGAAATCTAGGATCATCTTCCCCCCGAGGAGGCACCCCCCGGTGTTGGTGTTGGTGCCCCTTTACAGGCCCCCGAGTGCCGGCGGCAGGCGAGGGGGGAGTTCAGGAGGAGAGTTTCAGATGTCGGCGGAAGTTCTCAGAAGCCCTCGCGCCTTCGGAGAAATGTTCGGTGTCTCCGTGGAAGGCTCAGGAAAATTCTTCGTCGCAACACTTAGCTGCGTGGGCTCCCGCACGGACATTGGGCACGACTGAACACGTGCAGCTGGCTGGCGCCATCCTGAGAGAGACAAAGCCTCGGGACGCCCAGCCAGCGGAGCGCAACACAGTGCGGGTGGGCGGGAAAAACACCACCACACGCGCCCACGGCGCCTCAAGGAGACACCTGGAGACCTCACCCACACCGCGGCGCCAGCAGACACCCGCGGCACGCAGAACGAGGTCCCGACAGACAGACGACAGACAGACAGACAGAGGGCCCGACGGACCGACCGACCGACAGACAGACAAACAGACAGACGGACGACAACCGCCGCCCGCAGGACACGGCGTGTGAGCAGACCCACAAGAGCGAGCCAAGTCCGCAACCCCCACACAGGAGGACCCGACTCTCGTGCAATTTGCTGCGAATCCCCAGGCCATGAGGCAAGGATAGGAGTGGCACCGTTTACTCCTCACATTTTCCTGCCCTCTAAACCGCTGCGCGATTTAAGGGCTAAGAAATTCTACAGAAGGCTCCTCCTCCTCCTCCTCCTCCTCCTCCTCCTCCTCCTCCTCCTCCTCCTCCTCCTCCGGGGGACTTCCGAGCCTGCTGAGGAGGCCCGCGCTTTCCTGCTTCCCCCCAAGGCTCGCCGCCGAGATTCGCCGAGGCAGCGCAGACATTTCGGCGGCCATTGGGGGTGGATGGGAAGTTATGGGCCAGCGCGGAGCCCAGATGTCAAGGTCGTCATGCCTTTTCGTCGGCGGCGTTTCAGCTTCGTTTTTTTTCTGGCAGGTGCTCCTCGCCGAGAGCGGGTCGCACGCTAACATGGATTACGGCTCCGTGGATCTGGCGCGTGGGCGCCAGAACTATGGATCGGGCAAATCCCCCAGAGCATGAAGGCAGTGCCGCCTCATTTGGCGACGCAGCGTGACGGGTCTGTACGTTAGCGGGGCCCGTCGGTAATCCACGCACCTGAATCCATACTTCGGCGGCGAGCGAGGGGCAAGTGCGCAGGATAAGGCCTTTTCAGACGGCGGCGGGGCTTCTCAGAAGCCCTCTTGTCTCCTGAGAAGTTTCCTGTGCCCTGGGGGAAGGCAGGCACCTCCGCAGAAGGCAGGAGGACCTCCGAGCCCTCTGAGAAGGCCCGCCCCCTCTCGGGCACCGATTCTGCCGCCATCGCTCGAGCCGCCACGGGCCGGAGAGGGAAGATGTCCCAGGGCCTTGGGATCCGACGACGGGAGGAAGAGATACAGTCGGGGCCCTGAAGAAGGAACCCTTTTCGTTGGGGAGGGGCTCGGTGTGCCTTGATTGTTGTGCAATTTGCCTTAGGTTCCCCTAAGGTTTTCCATAGGAAATCGAAGTTTAACTTTTGGGAAAAAGGGGCCTCGTTCTTATTTTGGGTTCCTTGGGTCAAGCCCCCGACTGTACGGCAACGCGAAAGATCACGATCCGCGGCCTAGGCCACAGTTTCTACGGCATTCCTGGGGCCGCACCCATATTCGTGGGCATTCCGTGGCCCGAAACTGGGCGAGAAGGCCCAGTGTGAAATAGATGCGACATCCAGATTGTGAGGGGAGGGTCCCGAGATGTCTCGGGCCTTTGGGCAGTCACAGAGAGCGGCAGGAGCAAGAGTTCATGGTGACCACACGTGCGTACTCTGACATTCCCAGGTTCTCCCGCAACTCCGCACGGGCTCCAGACACGAGGGCCAGAACGCATCGTGAGCCCATCGCATCATGACAGTATACCAGCGGCGAGCGAGGTGGGGAAGCGAGAAGTAACAGGCCTTTCTCAGAAGGCGGCAGGACTTCTCATTCTCAGAAGCCCTCGCGCCTTCGCAGAAGTTATCCGTGTTTTCGGGGAAGGCTCAGAACATGTCTCAGAAGGCTGGAGTACGTCCGAGTCTGCTGGGAAGGCCCGCCCTTCCTCGCGTCCTCCTGGGCTCACCGCCGAGTATTCGAGTAGGACATCAACTACAGGATTGATGTACCCCGTTGGCCCGAATAATAAAGCTTCCCCCCCCATGCCCTCACTCTCCGGCCAAGACAGAGTTGGTCGGGGGAGAGGGGCGGCGAGTCCGAAATTCGTTATCGCGGAGGAAAGTTACGAAGCGAAATTGCGATCTTCGTGTGTTGAGCAGCAGCCTCATCACGAACGCGTGGTTAGGCCATCGGAATCGCACCATGTAAGTTTTCTCCAGTCGCGGACGTGTGGCAGGTACCTATGACATGATCACCGTGAGCCTCATTATTTTGGTATGGTTATAATAACTCCTATTATTAGTACTGTTACTACTACTACTACTACTACTACTACTACTACTACTACTACTACTACTACTACTACTACTGCCACTGCCACTGCCACTACCACTACCACTACCACTACTACTTCTACTACTACTACTACGACTACGCTACTACTACTACTACTACTACTACTACTACTACCACTACTACTACTACTACTACTACTACTACTACTACTACTACTACTACTACTACTACTACTACGGCTACTACTACTACTACTTTACTACTACTACTACTACGACTACTTATTATACTATGATTTGTATTTCTACTAGTACTATTTCTACTACTGCTACTACTACTACTACTACTACCACTACTACTACTACTACTACGACTACGACTACTACTTCTACTATTGCTACCAACTACCACTACTACCACCACCACAACGACTACGGCTACTACTACTACTCTTGCTACTATTGCTACTACTACTACTACTATGACAACTATTACTACTACCTCTACTACTTATACTACTACTACGACTATTCCTGCCACTACTACTACTACTACTACTACTACTACTACTACTACTAGTAGTACTACTACTACTACTACTACTACTACTACTACTACTGCTACGACTTGTATTAGTATTACTAATGCTACGAGTTTGGCTACTGCTACTTCTTTTACGATTACTTCGATTATTACAGCCACTACCAGTACTACTATTACTACTGCTACTACTACTACTACTACTACTACTACGACTACTACGACGACCACTACTAGTCTTATTACTGTCACTACAAGTTCTAGTACTACGACGATGACTATTACTTTCGCTACTGCGACTACTTCGACTACGACTACTATTGCTGCTATCATTTTTATTACTACTACTACTACTACTTCTACTATTGCGTTTCCGATCGCCACGACCACTACTACTACCGCGACTACTACGATTAGTACGGTTACTCTTATAACCTCCATTTCGATTGCGTCTATTGCTTCGCCTGTGTTTATTTCCACTACTAGTCATATTACTAGTACGAGTACTAGTACTACCTCTACCTCCTCTCACTATTATTACGACTCATACGACTAGTTCTATTGTTATGTCCACTACCCTTACTACTGCCATTCTTACTGTCACTACTGCTGCTACTACTACTACTACTTCTACTACTATTCTACTACAACGACTACTACTACTACGGCTACGACTACCACTTCCAATACCACTGCCACTATTACTACCTCTACAACTACCACCACTACTACTACGACTACTACTACTACTACTACGACTACTACGGCTATTATTACGGCCATGACTACTAGTACTCGTGCTACTACTTCTGCTACTGCTGCTGTTGCTGCTACTACTACTGCGCCCGCTACTACTACTACCTACCTGTACTGGTACGACTACTACTACTACTACTACTACTACTACTACTACTACTACTACTACTACTACTACTACTACTACTACTACGACTACGACTACTACTACTACTACGGCTACTACTACTACTGCTACTACTACTAGTACTACTACTACTACTACTACTACGAGTACGACTGCTACGACGATTACTACAATTCTACTACTGCTGCTACTACTACTACGACGACGACTACTACTACGACTACTACGACTACGCTACTACTGCTACTACTGCTACTACTACTACTACTGCGACTACTATTACTACTAGCATTACTTTAATCCTACTACTACTACTACTACTACTACTGCTACTACTACTACTAGTACTACTACTACTACTACTACTACTACTACACTACTACTACTGCTACTAGTACGACTACTACTACTACGACTACGGCTACTACTGCTACTAGGACGACGACGACGACGACCACTACTACTACTTCACTACTTTACTACGGCCACCACTGCTACTACTACTACTACCACTGCTACTATTATTATTACTACTACTACTACTACTAATACTTCACCTACTACTACTACTACTACCACTACTACTACTACTACTACTACTGCTACTACTACTACTACTACTACTACTACTACTATTGGTACTACTACTACTACTACTGCTGCTGCTGCTGCTGCTACTAGTACTACTATTACTACTACTACGACGACTATTACGACTACTAGTACTATGTGTTTGTTGAGGGTTTTCTTGGGAGTTTTCTCGGGACCTCGAGCGGGATGTGCGACTACGACACGACAGAGGTGCACCGAACCCCATCGACGAGGAGAAGTTCGCCTTAAAAGGAGTTGGACGCCTGAAATAAGAACGCGCGTTTCATCATCGCCATTGTCATCATCACCGCCATCCTCAACACCAGCATCATCATCCTCATCGTACGCATCATCATTCTCATCATCAGCATCATCACCATCATCGTCATCACCATCATCGTCATCACCATCATCATACTCATCATCGGCATCATCATTATCATCACCAACATCGTTGTCATTATCATTGTCACCATCGTCGTCTTCATCGTCATCCTCATCGACATCGTCGTTGTCGCCATCGTCATTAGCATCGCCACCATCATGACAATAATCCAGGTTATCAGTATCACCATCGTCGTTATCACCAGCATCATCCCCAGCATCATCCGCATCAGCTCCGTCGTCATTATCACCATCAGCATCATAATCATTGTCGTCGTCATCATCATCAACATCATTAGCATCACTGTCTTTCTGTTATTGTCATCCTGTCAGGGTTGCCCACGTTGTTGAACGTGGATTGGGTGCCCTGGATAGTTGCCCTTCCCACGTGCATCATGGGGGGCTTCTTTGGGGAGTGGGGAAAACAGTCGGGGCCCTGAAGAAAGAACAATTTTCGTTGGGGAGGGGCTCCGCGTTCCTTAAGTGTTTCACAGCTTGCCTCAGGCTTTCCTTATGTTTTCGACCGGAAATCGAAGGTTAACTTGTTGAAAAAAGGGGCCTCGTTCCTCAGGTCAACGCCCCGACTGTAGACGCGTGTGGCGGCTTTTGGGAAGGAGGTCAGGACGGAAAGAGGCCTCTCGGGGCCGGGGGGCGCGCGCGGGCTCGCCGCGGCAGGCTCCGGACGGGCTGTTCCAGGTCGGCGACTGGGTGCAGATCGGTGCCCCCAGCGAGCCCGAGAAGGAGCTGCAGGCGGCGGACCAGGGCGAGGGGCAGGGAGGAGGAGGAGGAGGAGGACAAGCGGAAACCCACGAAGCATCAGCGATGTCGGAATACACCCTCCCTCCGAGCTCCCTCTTCGGAGGCCCCTACAAGGATCGAGTTCCGCTGAGGGAAGTGCCCCGCTGGGGGACAACCGGGTGAAGACCTTGAAGCGTGCCAAACCACCATTCTCTGGGCTTCAACGCACGAGTCATTCTGAGGAGGCGGCGCCGAAGGGGGGCTTCTTCCTGCGTTCGCGTTGCTGCGCCATCGGCGAGCGTAAGTGTACTCGGGACTCGGTGATATGCCGGTTCGGGGTCGCTGCAGCACAGCACGCTCTGCGTGCCGACGCCCGTCGGCGCGCAGAGGGTGTGCGTGGCGGCGGCGGGCGTGAGCGCTCAGAGGTTGCCAACGAAAGTGGCTTGAAGGTCTGCGTTTGCTCGCCGGTGGTGTGCGCGGATCCAGGTCTGCAGCTTTCTTGGCTGCCCCTGCGAAGAGAGGCCCCTGGGGCATGTGGCGCGCCGGGGCGAGCGCCGAGGAGGTTCGGGGTGGGGGAGGAGATCGGTGGCGCGCCAAAGGGGTGAGGACGAGGAGGATGGAGGACGCCTTGGTGCGGGGCTCCTTGTCGGGAGTGGACAGACCTCCTACCCTGACACGTCGATTAAGGAATTTGCCGTTCTCGGTTCGCCAGAGGGCGTCGCGGCCGCCATTTTTGCGGGTTCAGGTCCGTCGGTTTCGGTCCCAGGCCGTTTTCACTACAGGGAGGTTTACTAAAGGGAGGTTTGTCCACCGCCGACCTTGGGGCGGATCGGACGACGGGGAGGGGATCGGGAGAGGAGGGGTCCGCCTGGGTTCGGCCTGGCCGCCGGGCGCATCCTCCAAGGCGTTGGCTGCTCGGTCGCCGGGGGCGCCAGCGAGCAGCAGCTGCGTGGGCTGGTTCGCCAATTCCTTTTCTTATACACCCCCTTCTACGGTAGGTTCGCGTCGTGTCGACCGACCGGCGGCGACCCCACCGCCAGCGTTCAACGTTGAACGCCGCCAGTGACCCAGAATCGGTCGATGTTGAACGATCGGACGTTCTGGAAACGGCGGATCGTTCAAGATTGAACGATCCGCGCTGTGTCAGGAACCAAAGCCAGGGTCGACACGACACGGACCTGCCGTAGTCGTTCCCGAGGCAACTGCGCATCGCCTGGACAGCTGCCCGTCTTCCCGACATTGTGCCCTGAAGCTCGGTCAATGACGATCAGAGATCGCCAACACGTCTACCGCACGTTGTGCATAACTCATTCATTGTTAGGTGTTGCCTCGTCGCTGCAACTGAGCGCCACTTGAAGATTCTGACAGCACTAGGTCGGAGTAGTCAACGAAGCGAGTCGGGACAGATTCTGGTTCGGACGTTTCTGTGTCGACGCCTTGTGCGAACAAAAGGGAGCATTGCATTGATTGGTCTGGAAGCGGGTGCTGTGTTTGTCTTCCGCTGGGGCAGGAACATTCCACACAATCAACGCAGCAGTTTGCTTGATCACAGCTGGCAGCTTCTGCAGAGCACGTGAGGGACCGTCCAGGTGCGCTGCCGCGTGCCCCCCTTTTCCGCGTGAAATGGAGGGCGAAGTGGCCTGGCATCGCTCGGGCGTGTGCACTGCTTTTCTCGTCGAGGACCCTCGAGGGGCATTCTGGCCCATCCTGCGACAAAAAACCGACGGGGCCGAGGCATGCACGGGGAATGGGCGTCCGAGCGATGGCAGGGGCGGGAGGAGCTCGGGGCTGCCGGAGGCGGAAGTGCAGAGGACCGCCCCACCCAGAGTCAGGAGGGGAAAAAACACAGACACAATTGATCGTCGATTCCCCCGAAAATATGGGAAAACATGGGATTTGGGGGGGAAGACAGAAACCCCTGACAATATGGGACAATATGGGGAATCGTTTTAGTTGTGTGTATTTATTTGTGTGTCCTGGGGCCCCTTCAGTTTTGGCCCGAGCTGGGGACAGCAGGAGCCCCTAGGATTTCTTGGGGTCCTCCTGGGGCCGCCTTGGCCTGGGGCTACCTCGAGGCCCGCTGGGGCTCTCTTGATGCCCTCTTGTGGCCTCTTAGATCGTGTCGGGCGTCTCTTAGGGTTATGCTGGTTTCTCTCGCGGCACTGTTTGGCCGTATTGGGGTCAGGCCTTATTTGGTTGTCTTAAGGTTTTCCAGGGGACCTTCTTGGGACCCTCCTTGCATGATTGCATACACCCAGCGATGCATGCATACATACATACGTACATACATACTCGCAAACACACAAAATTATGCACCTGTAATCGTGCATCCAGACATACACACACATACGTACACACAGCCTACACCCGTGCATACACATGTACGTACATACACACCTACACATACACACATACACATACACATGCTCACACACATGTATATATACGTATCCACATACATGCATGCATTCATGCGTACACACATACGTACGTGCATATGTACATATGCATGCATGCATCCATGTATGCATACACCTACATACATACATGTATGTATGCATGCATACATACATACAATGATACATGTATGGTACACGTATGCACGCATGGATGCAGGCAGGCACACATACATACACACGTGCACACATGCATACATACCTACACACATTCATACATACATGCATATATGCATGCATGCAAGCATGCATACATACATTCACGCATCCACACATACCTGCATACATACATACATACATACATGCATACATACGTACGTACGTACAGGCATACATACATACATACATACATGCATGCATACATACATACACGCACATACATACATACATACATACATACATACATACATACATACCTACATACATACATACATACATACATACATACATACATACATACACACATACATACATACACACATACACATACATACATACTTACACACATACACATACATACATACATACATACATACATGCATGCATGCATGCATACATTCATACATGCATGTATACATACATATATATATACATACACACATGCATACAGACATACAGACAGGCGGGCAGACAGACATACCGACAGACAGACAGACAAACATCCATTCATCCATGAATCCCTGTATGCATGCATGCATGCATACATACATTCACGCACACACCTATACTTATATAAGTATACAGTTGTACGCATACATACACATATACATGTATACACACATATATACATCTATACATTCATCGGAGTAGGTCAGGGGGGCGGCTCGGAACCACGATTTCTGGTTTGCATGGGGGCCTGGGGCGGCCTTGAGGGCTCCAAGAGGGCCCAGAAGGGGCCCTGGACCCCCCCAAAGGCCCCCAAGCTGGCACAGACGGCCCACAAGCGCTCCAAGGAAGCCCAAGACTGCTCCTAGACGGCCGCAAAGGCCCTCAAGACTGTCCAAGTGGGGGCCGAGAGGGCCTCCAAAGAGTAAGAATCAAACATTTTCTACGGAAGAGTGGATATTTGCTGGATATTCGCTTTGTCATTTCTAACAGCGGCCACGACGGCCCCAAAGGGCCTTCAAATCGGCCCCAGACGGCCCAAGAGGGCCCCAATACGGCCTGAAGAGAGCTTCAAGCAGCACAAGAGAGCTCCAAGACGGCCCAAGAGAGTTCCCAGGAAGCCTCGAGGGGGTTACCGGTGGATCTCTACATGGTCGGAGAGGGCCTTAAGAGGGTCCCAAGACGGGCTCAGCCCCTTATGACATGCCAAGAGGGGGACCCGGGACGGCCGAAAAGGGCCCCCAGACGGGCCAAAAAAGGCCCAAAAGGACTCCCCAGGAAGGCCCGGAGAGGCCCCAGAGATTCCCATATTGTTTTCAAAATGCTCCCGGGAGGCGTCCCAAGGCCCCATGAGCGTATGGAAGGTCTCGTGTCTACGTCCTGCAAGATACATTTCAGGGCTACCCGAGGCTCCACAGAAACATGCTGCGGGGCGCCGGGAAGTAACCAATACACCCCGAACTCACGGTCGAGATCAGGGGTGTGTTGCCATGTGCGGAAGGGCGGCAGACGCTCGTTGGCTTTCGGACTGATGGTGGAGCTCCCACTGACCCCCCTCACTCTTATTCGCAATTCGATGTGCTTCGCATATCCCGATACATCGATCGTCGATCTCTAAAACCTACATGTTTTATCATCGATCGCCCGCTCGGCACGTCGGTCGACGAACCAAAGCGATGAAACGGAAGACATGGGGATGGGGCCAGTGTCGAGCCAGAAAGGCGAAAACGCTTGTCAGGGACGATGAGTTTCGCGAGGAGTTTTCGAACCATCGGTATAGTCACAGCATCGGTGTCGTCGATGCTTCAGACGGTCTTGCGGCGGGACGGAATCACACGACTTCCATTCCGCCAGTGTGTACTTCTACGCGTGTCCAAGTATTCCGACTGATTTGCCTTCTTCTCCCTCCATCTCTTGCTTTTAGAATCTCCCCGATTGCCGCGCCAGGCGGTAGCGAACATCGCGCCTGGCGCCGTGGGCCTCGCTTCTACCCTGTTCTTCTCGTACCCTGCTGGCACTCCCGTGTTCAGGGTACTTCCGCAG